TACATACAGAGAAACTACAAAGAAACATGAAAGAGATAAAGACAGAGTAAAAGGATGGAAAATGATATACCACACACACAGTAACCTTAAGAAAGCCAGAGTGAGGGTCACTTGGGTGGTTCAGTCAGTTAAGCATCTGCCTTCAACTCAGGTCATAATCCCGGGGTCCTGGAATCTACCCTGAGTTGGGTTCCCTGCTCAGCAGAAAGTCTACTTCTCCCTCTCCCTCTCCCTCTCCACCCCCCTCCCCTGCTGGTGCTCTCTCTCTCTCTCTCAAATAAATAAATAAAATCTTTAAAAAAAGAGGGGTGCCTGGGTGCTCAGTTGTTAAGTGTCTGCCTTCAGCTCAGGTCACGATCCCAGGGTCCTGGGACTGAGCCCCGCATCAGGCTCCCTGCTCCACTGAGAGCCTGCTTCTCCCTCTACCGCTCCCCCTGCTTGTGCTCTCTTTCTCTCTGTGTCAAGTAAATAAAATCTTAAAAAAAAAAAAAAGCCAGAGTAACTATATAATTAGACAAAGAGGACTTTAAAACGAAGTATTATTAGAAATATATTAAGGAGGGTCAGTTCAAATGGGCCAATTCAACAAAGAGGAACAGTAATCATAAATGTATATGCCACCTAATAACAGAGTTTTAAAATATGAGGCAAAAAAATGACCGAATCAGAGGGGAAAACAGACAAATACACAATCCAAGTTGGAGATTTTAACAACCTTCTCTCAGTAATTGATAGAATAATTAGGCAAAAATTAATAAGGGTACAATAGATTTGATCAAATGTACCAACCACCTAAATCTAGTGGGCATTTACAGAACACCACACTACCCAACAATGATAGAACATGTTCTTTTTAAGTGTACATGGAACTTTGGCCAAGTCAGACCATATGCTGAGCCATAAAATAAGTCTAAATAAATGTCAAAAGTTAAAACTTACAAACTATTACCTAATCATAACACCATTACTTTAGAAATCAATAACAAATCATGTATCTGCAAAAACATCTGTAAATCTTAAAACAAAACATTAAAACATTTAAAACTGAATGATAATGAAAATACAACATATCAGAATTTGTGGGATGGAGTGAAGCCATGCAGTTCATATTCAAAAAGATAAAAGATGTAAAGTCAATGGTCTAGGTTTCCATCTTAAGCAAGCAACTTAAACACAAAAATCACGGACAGAAGCAAATACAGCAAGGCTATGAGCTGTCACCATGTCTATTCAGCTTGTACTTGAGGCCCTACCAGAATAAGGCAAGATAAAGAAATAAAAGCATAAAAATCAGAATAAAAAAAGTACAACTGCCTCTGTTCACAAGTAATTTCTTTGTTTATGCAGAAAATCCTAAGAAATCTAGCAAATATTAGAAAATGAATTTAGAAACGTAATGAAATATGAGACAAAAATCAACCATATTTCTATATACCAGCTGCAAACAACTGAAAAATGAGAACAAGAGAAATACCCAATTAAAAGACCCCATTAAGGATATGAATACACAAGCCACAGATAGTGAGAGAATATTAATCAGTACATTAATCTGACAAGAGTTGTATACAATTAAGAATTCATATAAGTATATAATAAAAAGACAATTTTTAAAAAAAATTTTTTTAAGATTTTATTTATTTGAGAGAGAGAGAATGAGAGACAGAGAGCATGAGAGGGAGGAGGGTCAGAGGGAGAAGCAGACTCCCTGCTGAGCAGGGAGCCCGATGTGGAACTTGATCCCGGGACTCCAGGAACATGACCTAAGACAAAGACAGTCGCTTAACCAACTGAGCCACCCAGGCGCCCCTAAAAGACAATTTTTAAAAATAGTCAAGGGCACCTGGGTGGCTCAGGTGGTTAAGTGTCCAACTTCTGATTTTGGCTTAGGTCATGATCTCAGGATCCTGAGATCCAGCCGTTAGTTGGGCTGTGCGGTCAGCAGGAAGTCTGCTTGAGATTCTCTTTCTCTCTTTCCCTCTCCCTTTGCCCCTCCTCCAACTCACACTCTCTCTCTCTAAAATAAATAAATAAATTTTTAAAATAATAATAAAAAATAAAAATAGTTAAAAGATTTCACAAAGCAAGTTATATGAATGGACAGTTAAGTACAGGAAAAAATGTTCATCATTAGTCATCGGTGAAATGTAACGACAGCCACTATGAAATACCTCCAAACATCCACTAGAATCATTCACATTAACAAGTCTAATATCATCAAATATTGCAAGTATGTGAAACAACAGATTTGTCTGTCAGATACTGGTGGAGGGAGTGTAAAATGGTACAATTACTTTGGAAAAATGCTGGCAGTTTCTTCTGTAGTTTAACATATTCTATGAAAAAAATATATATATTGAAGAGAAATAAAAACGTATCTCCAGACTTTCACAAGATTGTTCACAGAAGCCTTATTCATAATAGCCCAAACTGCAAACAACCTTCAAGTCCATTAACAGTTAAATGGATAAACAAATTGTGGCATATTCACACGTTGGAATTCTGCTATTACAGGTTGATTGGGCCCCCCAAGAATATAGAGTGAAGTCTTAACCACCAATACCTATGAATGTAACCTTATCTTAAAACAAGGTTTTAGCAGAGGTAATTAAGATATAAACTGAGATGAGGTCATAGTGGAGTAGAGTGGGCCCTTAATCCAACAATAAGGGGTGTCTTTATAAAAAGAGGAGGAGAAAGACAAAAATATAGGGAGTAGGCTCTGGGACTACAGAGACAGAGAATGGCATGTGTTGTCTAAAAGTCAAGGAACAGCAAAAATTGTGGGTAAAACCAGAAGCTAAGCAGAAAGCTAAAGAGGAGGGCACAAAAGAGATTGTGCCCTACATCTTCGGAGAGGTTGCTGACACCTTGATTTCTAGTCTCAACTGTGATAAATTTCTGCTATTTTAAGCCACTGGATTCTGGGGTATTCGTTACAGCAGCCTTAGTAAACTAATACAAACTACACAATAATAAAGGGAGAGAAACTACTGATATACCAGATAAATCCCAAAAATACTATGTTCAGTGATAGAAGCTAAGCCCAGAACTAATCTATGACACAAGAACATCAGAACTACGGTTGCTTTCGGCCACAGACAGCAAGTCATGGGAGTAACAAGACTGGGAAAAAGCTTGAAAACGTTTTCTGAGTTATGTTTTCTGAGTTGACTAAAATGTTCTCTCTCTTGATTACTGAGAGGTTACAAAGTTAGCATTTGTCAAACCTCACTGAGTTGTACACTTAAAGTTCTGTGCATATAGTTCAAATGAAAAAATCTGTAATTAAATATTAAACTCTAGTTAGTAGCTATGCTTTCTGTAGAAGTTTAGGTTACAAATCTGAAAATATTTTCTGTGTACTCTAGGCTTAAGCAAAGGATAGTAAAAGCCAGGTCTCTCATTATTAAAGAGAGTTATAAATACAAAAATAAAAAAAAAAAGAAAGACAGCAACAGCAAACCTTGTTGTGGTGAATTGGAATGGAAGGTTATCAGTATGAATTCCTGTTTTTTAATACAGATAGATAGCTACCAAGCAAGAAAAGGGGATGAAGAATAACAGGCATTTTCCTTCATGTACCTTTCTATCTTTCTGGATCTGAAAAGGCAAAAAGTAAGGGTGTAAGTTAAAGGAATGAGAATACACTTCACTACCCACTGCCCCTCCACCAACCCTCAATTTGTTTCCTATAGCGAAGAGTCTCTGATTATTTGTCTCCCAGAGACGGGGTAATTGTGTAAATGGCATTAAGGAGGGCTGGTGATGTGTTCAGCACTGGGTGTAATATGCAACTGATGAATTACTGAACTCTACATCTGATACTAATGATATACTATATGTTGGCTCTTAGAATTTAAATAAAAAAAAAACTGTCCAGAAATGGGGATTGTATCTCTAATGTTAATTCCAAGCAGATTGTTATTTTAATTTCTAAAGATAACTGATATTGCATAGTAAATTCATATGTTAAATATGAGTATGTGAAGTCTGTTTAGTTTTAAAATATATTATCTGTATGCAATTAATTTCAATAAAAATTCTGGAAGTAAAAAAAAAAAAAATACACTTCACTAATGGAGATGGTTCCCTTGAATGGATTCTCATTCAATGTGTGGTGAGACTTTTTATTTATAATGGTTTGTGAAATATACTAACTGTGGTGTATCCAAATTATTATTTTTTTCACACCTAAGAAGGATAGACTTATTGGATAAGGAATGAAGAATGAAAACTTTTTTAAAGTTTCAGTCTATCTTGGTAGTTGTCTAGCCTAGCCAGGTTAATCACTGGCTAATGAAAACATTCTTAGGTAGATACTTATTACTAAACTACCTTCAGTCTTTCTCGGATGTCTTACATATTTACCTGTTGATAAGTAGCAAATGGAGATGACCTATTTTCATCCAAGGTAAAGTAATGTATATCTTTTTAAAAAGAGTAAGTAAATTAGCTTTTTTTTTCTTTTAGCTCTCAGTTTTCTGTTCAGTTTCACAGAAAATTAGTATATTTGACAGGGTTTTTATTTTGAGAAATACAAGGTAATCTATTCCCTAAGTACATTAACATTAGTAAATGCCTCAAAATCAAATTTTCTTTTCTCCAAAATTGTACTGGCATTTTTTTTCCCTCCCTCTTTCTCTCTCTCTGTTTTTTTTTTTTGGAATTAATAGTCAAGTATACAAATACAAAAGCCATCAAAATTAGAATACTCAGTCTGCTAAATGATGAATCAAATCAATGATCTGCACAGCATCCCTGAGTAGTGATATGTAAGGAATCAATTTGGGTTTTGACAACCCTCCTTCCTAGGTCATATCACTGTGTACAGAAGCCAGTCGAGTAGATATAAATCAGTGAGAGATGGTAGCTGCTATGCCAAATTCTACTGATTTCATTTGTTAAACTACTACTGGCATGATGTCTACCTGCAAACAGAATAAGAGAGAGCATACAAAGAAAAACAGTAAACACATGGGACAAAAGGTCCAGCACCTTACCATCCACAGGTTTGACCTCAGCTGGTATCTGCTCTTCCTGTCCTCCCACGTGGCCTATGCTGTTCTCTTTAATGCTTTCTATTTCCCGCAAGAAATCCTCCATGGAGGTGCTGTCTACGGAGGCTTGTGAGTTGGAGCGGCTAAATGCAGGAGAATGTAGAGATTCATTGGAGAGCATCCTGTTAATTCTTCGGCAGCGAGAAATAGATTTTCTGCAGAAAGAATAATATCTGTTAATAAAAATCAGTCTTTTATGTTTTAAATCACAAAATAAAATTTAGGTTTAAAATCAATGCAGAATGGAGTTAAGTGTGACGGAGAAGGGTTTAGGGGAGTAATTTCCATTTAGTGGTGGCCCTTCTTTTTTATTCTCTAAAATTCATAATGACTTTGTGGCTATGTAGGAATCACCATGAAAATACTTTTTATAATTTTCACATACTCATAAAGTATGAAGTTACCTGTATTAGCCAAAACATATAGTTCAAGCCATATCTCTAATGAACACAGATGCAAAAATCCTCAATTATTAGCAAACTGAATTCAACAATATGTTAAAAGAATCATTCACCACCACCACCATGTGGGACTTATTCCAGGGATGCAAGGATGGTTCATATCTGCAAATCAATCAACGTGATATATCACATTAACAAAAGAAAGGATGCAAACCATATGATCATCTCAAAAGATGCAGAAAAAAAATTTAAAAAAATTCAATATCCATTCATGATAAAACCTCTTAACAAAATGGGTATAGAGGGAACATATCTCAACATAATAAAGGCCATATATGACAAAGCCACAGCTAACATCATACTCAGTGGTGAAAGGCTGAAAATTTTTCCTCTAAGATCAGGAAAAAATAAGGATGTCCATTCTCACACTTTTATTCAATACAGTACTAGAAGTCCTAGTGACAGCAATCGGGTAAGAAAAAGATATGAGGCTTCCATACATGTAAGGAAGAAGTAATACTGTCCGTATTTGCAGATGACACGACACTACATATAGAAAACCCTTAAAAATGCCACCAAAAACTATTAGAATCAATCCATGAATTCAATAAAACTGCAAGATACAAAATAAATACACTGAAATCTGTAGTGTTTCTTTTCTTTTTAAAAGATTTTATTTATTTCAGAGAGAGAGAGAGAGAGAGAGAGAGCGCACAAGTAGGGGCAGACAGGCCAAGGGAGAGGGAGAAGCAGACTCCCCCCTGAGCAGGTAGTCTGGCGTGGGGCTTGATCCCAGGACCCTGAGATCATGACCTGAGCCGAAGGCAGACGCTTAACCGACTGAGCCAAAGAGGCACCCTGTAGTGTTTCTATACACTAATAATGAACTAGCAGAAAGAGAAATTAAGAAAATAATCCTATTTACAATTGCATCAAAAGGAATAAAAGACCTAGAAATAAATTTAACCAAGGAGGTGAAAGACCTGTACTTTGAAACTTAAGACACTGATGAGAGAAGTTAAAGATGACACAAATAAATGGAAACATACACCATGCTCATGGATTGGAAGAATTAATATTGTTAAAATGTCCATACTACGCAAGCAATCTACAAACTCAATGCAATCCCTATCAAAATACTAGTATTTTTGACAAAACTAAAACAAATAATACTAAAAGTTTTATGGAACCACAAAAGAACCTGAAGACAAAGCAATCTTGAGAAAGATAAGTTGGAGGTATCACAATCACAGATTTCAAACTATATTACAAAGCTATAGTAATCAAAACAGTATGGTACTGCCACAAGATGCATAGATTAATGGAACAGAATAGAAAGCCCAGAAATTAAGCCCACACTTATATGGTCAATTAATCTATGACAAAGGAGGCAATAATATACAATGGAGAAAAGACAGTCTCTTCATTAAATGGTGTTGGGAAAACTGGACAGGTGCATGTAAAAGAATAAAAGTGAACCACCTTCCTATACCAAGACACAAAAATAAACTCAAAATGGATTAAAGACTTAAATGTAAGACCTGATACCATAAAACTCGTAAAAGAAAACATAGGCAGTAACCTCTTAGACATCAGTCTGAGTAGTATTTTTTCAGATGTGGCTCCTCAGGCAAGGGCAACAAAAACAAAAATAAACAACTGGCACTCCATCAAACTAAAAAGCTTTGGACAGTGAAGGAAACAGCAAAACAATAAGGCAACCTACTAAATGGGTAAAGATATTTACAAATGATATTTCTCATAAGGACTGTATGGTACATACTGGAAGGCTGGTTTATGCAAGCATGACCTGAATGTCCCTGTTAATCACTATCTTGAGATCTTGTCCTCCTTCTATATTCCCATCAAACAGAATGGGTAGAACATGTTGTTCAGTGCTCAAGGTTAGGGACTCCAGGGGTGGCCAACCCAGAGTGTCTCCCTTGTAACAAAGACTGTCTGGATGGCAGGACTTGATCTCCTTCCAACACTGGCTGTGTAAGGAAGGGAAGGGCTACAGATAGTTGCTAGGCTTGTTCTATACTATAAAAGCTTACCGCAAGTAGATTCCAGAAGTGGATGCTTTGTCCAGTTGGCTGCTGCTGGACATCCTCTATGTAAGTTCCCCCCCATAAACCTATGTCTTGATCCCTGTTTCTGGGTCATTTCTTCAGTCTTGCCAGACCATCATCCACCCTTGGCTTAGAGTCTGCTGGGGTGTGGCTACACAAGAGGTTAATATCCAAAATACACAAAAAATTCATAAAACTCAACACCAAAAAAAAAAAGTCCAAATAAAAATGGGCAGAGGACCTAAACAGATACTTTTCCAAGAAAGACATACAAAGTGGCCAAAAGACACATAAAAAGATGCTCAACATCATTAATTATCAGAGAAATGCAACAAAACCACAATGAGATATCACCTCACACCAGTCAGAATAGTTAGTATCAAAAAGACAGGAAATAACAAGTGTTGGCAAGAATGTGGAGAAAAAGGAACCCCTGTGTACTGTTGGTGAGAATATACATTGGAGAAGCCACTACAGAAAAAGAGCATGAAGGCGCTTCAAAAATTTACAAATAAGAATACCATACAATCCAATAATTTCACTTCTGGGTATTTACCTGAAGAAAATTAAAACACTAATTTAAAAAGATATGTGCACCCCTATATTTATTGCAGCATTATTTATAACAGCCAAGATGTGGAAGCAACCTGTCCATTGATAGATGAATGGATAAAGAATGTCACACACACACACACACACACACACACACACACACACACACACACACGTGATATGGAATATTACTCAGACTTAAAAAGAATAGTCTTGCCTTTTCAACAACATGAATGGACCTAGAGTGTATTATGCTAAGTGAAATAAGTCAGAGAAAGACAAATACCATATGATTTCACTTATATATGGAATCTAAAATCCAAAACAAATGAACAACTAACAAAATCCAGACTCTTAAATACAAAGAATGAACTGGTGGTTGCCAGAGGGGAGGGGAATAGGGCCATGGGTGAAATAGGTAAAGGGGATTAAAAGGTACAAAATTCCAGTTATAAGTCATGGGGATGAAAAGTACAGCATGGGGAATACAGTCAATAATATTGTAATAATGTTGTACGGAGACATACAGTGACTACACTTTTCATGGTGAGCATTTTTGTATATGTTATAAATATATAAATGTCAAATCACTATGATGGATACCTTACACTCATGTTTCCGTGGGGATGAGGGAATGGGAAGTTTTTGTTTAAAAAGTATAGAGTTTTAGTTTTACGAGAGAAAAAGAGTTCTGGAGAGAGGTAGTAGAGATGGTTACAACAATCTGAATGTCCTTAATACCACTAAGCTGTATGCTTAAAAAATGGTTAAGATGGTAAATTTTATCTTACATGTATTTTATCAGAATTTTTTAAAGATTTTTATTTATTTTATCTGAATTTTTAAAAATTGACAGAAAATTGGGGGGCTAGGTGGCTCAAATCAGTTGAGTAGCTGACTCTTGATCTCAGCTCAGGTCTTGATCTCAGGATCTCAAGTTTGAGCCCTGCACTGGGCTCCATACCAGGCATGGAGCCTACTTAAAAAAAAAAATTGAAAAATACATTTTTAAAAAGTTGGCTGCTGAAATAACGAGATAGTGTGAAGAAGCAATCTGTGACATTAAATAGAAAGACCCTACATTAGGATGAGGAAGGGGGCACTGATCCAGAACACAGAGACCCATAGTCAGTTCAGGGAGACTTGGATCACCACTAAGGGTAGGGTACAACCAAAAAGGAGGGCAGTGCGGGCTCCTGTTATCTAGGAGGGCCACAAAAGGACCACTGCCAATCTTGAAGACACAAAACTGAGCAGAGCATGGAGCAGCTTCATGGGGCACTTTCTCATGGAGTTTATGCAAGGACTAAATAAATTAGCATGTGTGTGCACTTAGAACATAAAAATATCCAACAAATGTTAGTTTAAAAAACAAGAGACACAATGGGGGACATACATGCCAAAATGCTGGAATTCTGAGAAATTTTGAAGATTTGCATAAAAATAAAATATTTTTATGTGAGGTGGTGATGTGTTAAGGGATCTTATTGTTGTGGTAATCATTTTGCAATATATACATGTACCAAATCAGCATGTCATGCATCTTAACTTTAACCCAATGTTATATGTCAGATATCTCAATAAAACTGGAATAAATTCAAAATATGTTTGATTTCCAAGACACATGATTGACAAATATCATATTTCCTAGGAACAATGTTTGATTAACAAGAACACTTCGGTCCCCAACCATGAATAACTGAGCTACTTTATGCAGTATGATCTTCAGTTCTTGCTCTTATGTTATTTTCTTTTTAATTTTCCAATTTGGAGTGGGTGTGAAACTTCTTTCAGAGAACTTCAAGTATACCTTCTTATCCTTGGGTTTAGGTAGAGTTGAACCAAAAGGCTGAGACTACCTCTTAACTAATGTGCAGTCTGAGCTGTTACACACCAAACAAGAACTCCCAGATGGAAAGAGGCAACCAAAGCAATGGCATAGCAATGTCCAACTGTGGCATTATGACTCACTTAGGACAGTTTAATTTTAATATACAGAGCAGCGGTGGACTGCTATGGAATGTAGCCATGCCCTACAGCTTATGAAAAGAACACTGATATGCATGAGCAAACAAAGAGAGAGGGGGGTGAGAAAACAAATCCGTGTGTTCATATTGTCTATACCTCTAG